CCAAGAGCATGGAACATGCCTGCAATTCAGCCTTGGCTGCAGTCTATAATTGTAGCCAAGGACTTTGTTCATTTGATGTTCTCTCTTATGATGTTCACATCAAATGTACGCTTTAAGAGTAAGCCACACTTCCTTTTCCTGCTTTTTTAATTATGCGAGTCTAACCTCTGTTCTTGCCTTAGCAGTTTCATTTTTCTTTTGTTCAGTTGTTCTACTGCCTGTGCTTTGCTGGGCACTTGATCATGTTGCTAGATTTCTGAGGCGAAATTTTGCGCGCTCCTCATTCTACAGGCAAGTTGCTGATTTCTACAATTAAATTGCACCTTTGTATCAACGCTTGCAATTACTGATTTTTTTAATCTCTATCTTTAGGAGGTACATGGAGGAGCCTTGTTTGTGGGTGGAGACAAACAACACTATGATCAGCCTCCTTTGTTCAAATGCTGAAATTACCCTTGGCTTTCTTATGATCGTATCACTTTTCTCGTATGTGCATTCACTTCTTGCTGAACTATTTAAAGAAGATTTTGAATCTAAACTCACATCAGTGCCATGCTTGCTTTCTCATGCAGGTGGAGACGCAACATAATTCAGACATTCATGTACTTTCATGTTAGTTTCCCTGCCCTAAACAAGCATTTTTCTCGTTTTTTACTTTTGTTTCGTTTCTGCTTTCATGAGTTTGAGAACACGAGGACCCTATAGGTTGAATATTTGCATTTTGTTGGCTGCATTACCACCATATGCATCTACTGAAACACTAGTTCATGCAGTGCATTCACAACTGTATTGCCTAACTAACTTTTCTGTACACATCTATTTTGTACAGCTGTTGAAGTTGATGTATCATGCTCCTGTAACATCGGGTTATCACCAGAGTGTGTGGGCGAGAATTGGCCGGGCTGTAAACCCTCACATTCATCGGTACACGCCATTTCTCAACACGCCAATTTCAGCAGTCCAAAGATGGTGGCTGAGATAGTAGGCATGGATGGTGCCACGCCTATGTATCCCTTGATCCCCTCTACATATAGAGTATCTGCTACAGTGGGCTTCCCTTGTCATCGTTCCGTTAAGAACATACACGTCACTTGCACATCGTTCTATTGTTTTCATACCCTCATTTCGCGTCTTACTGAGCTACTCAACGGATGGCACAGCATAAATTTTTCTGTGCAAGCAGTAGGTTTCGAGCGGTCTGTCCATATCTAATATCTTGACTGATACAGTTGCAATGATGGCGAAGAATTCTTGAGGCTACTTTGTTACTAGAGTGTTTGACAAAAAACTACCACAATTGGGGCTTCTGCCCCACAGAACTACCACATTTTTAAAAGTGGCCGAAAACTATCAAAAAATTGGAATCTCGTAACTAAAAACTATCACTTTCAGATAATGGCCAGTTTAGATGATTTAAACATGTTTATGACAGGTGGACCCCACTTGTCAGCGTTGATGTGGCAGGAAAGTTAACTTTGTTATTCCAGACAGTAGATCGTTATGACAGGTGGGGCCTACACGTCATTCTTCTTCCTCGTCATTCTTCTTCCTCCTCTCTGGCATTTTAACAAACACCTCGTGTACATCGTCCACGAGCAGGTAGACGACGCAAAGCTCACCGTTGTTATCGAGCTTTCGCCACCGCGTCGGGCGCCCCCAACGCCGGTGAGCAGTTAACCGTGATCGGAGCCGGCGGCTGATGCATACTAGAGAAATCCGCCGCGTCGCCCACCCGCCCTGGCGCACAAACCGCACGCTCGCCGGCCGCGTCCACAACACGCTCGTCTTCGTGGCTGGCGTCGTGTTAGCGTTGCTCGTGCTCCTCTGCTTCTCCTTGCTGCTCGCGCCCACGCCCGTGCCCAACCAGGTCACGGGTCGCTCCCTCCCCTTCCCCACCTCCTTCCCGCACCAGGAGGACGCCGTCGGTGACGAGGAGGGCCTGTACGCCAGGGTCGCCGCTGGGGCACGAGCAGTACCCTCTACCGACTGCATCTCCCTGATGCGGCTTATTCCTTGCCGCGTGGGGCTGTGGCGAATAGGAGCCAGGTTGCTACGGCGAGCGCGAGCAGCGGCTGCATGAAGACGGGGAGGGCGAGCCGCGACGACCCGAATTCGACCGAGCCGGCCATAGCTATCCGCCATGGCCAGCAACCACACCTCGCCGATGTCCTCAATCGCCGACTTGTGCGACAGAGCTCACCTACTTCCCTGCATGCACTGAAAGTGTTTGTTAAAATGCTAGAGAGAGGAGGAAGAAGAATGACGTGTGGGCCCCCCTGTCATAACGGTCAACTTAACGATCCAGAATAACAGAGTTGACTTTCCTGCCACATCAGCCCTGACAGACGGGTCCCACCTGTCATAAACGCGTTTAAATCGTCTAAACTGGCCATTATCCGAAAGTGGTAGTTTTAGTCACGAGATTCTAATTTTTTGGTAGTTTTCGGCCACTTTTAAAAATGTGGTAGTTCTGTGGGACGGAAGCCCTAATTGTGGTAGTTTTTTGTCAAACACTCTTGTTACTAGTACTAGAAGAACGCCTGTGCGTTGCAACGGGGCCACATTAACTTTAAGAGTTCAATATTACGACATTGGCGACCTTTTTTACCATCAAATCCTCACGCACACACACACTCTCCCTCCCTCTTCCTCACTCTCTATCCCCCTCTCCCTCTCTCTCTAACACACACACATATCCATCTTATTGGGTACGGGACCATAATCCATCTATTTCACACATACACGCTAGTGCATAACAATATGGATTATGTGTATTATATTTGCCATCAGAACTGGGGGAATTAATTTCATGTAAATCGACCAGCCACAGCTCCAAGAATACGCGAACGAGGTGGCTCGGGTCGACGTCGGCACCGTCCAGCGCGGGCCTCGGGCCCGCTTCCAAGTGCACGTGCAATGCACGTCTTCACAAATATTATAACCAGATGTGAGAAATCACATGCATAGAAAAGACATTCTGATAGCAATCCAAATACCATACTCAATTGAATACCTAACCTGGACAATACTCTTATTTCTATGCGCTAGAAAAAATGGAATAGCAAATCTAAGTATGCCTACATACGCTCAGATTATATATAAGAATCTTGGGTGAACAATTGCAACAAAGCACTAAGCAACGATAAATTTAAATAAAAAATCCATTAACTATGCAGGCAGCAGGCTTGTTACAACATAGAGAGATAGGAAAATGTCACCTCCAGTAATGTAGCGCAAAGGAGTGGAACGAAGCATGAATGAGCGGTTGTCTATTCTTCTCCATGTACATGGATCAGTAGTAGAGGCCAAGTATATAAGTACTTGACCGAACTCCACTCTTTGTGTACGGAGAGCCATGTCACCTTCTCGCCGCTGCAGCACGGGAGGACGGCTGGTTCACGTGACCCTCCAGCTGGGGGATCCATGGTGGCTGACCGTCGAGCTCGAGGCAGAGAAGTTGAGGGCAGTAGTGGCGAGATCCATGCCGGCCAACCGGGTGAACATGAGGTCGTCGGGGAGGGACACATCGGCAAGATCCGGTCACCACGCAATCTGAAGAGCAACAGTGATCTCCACAGGCTGTAGGCCGACGACGTGCTCCATCCCCTGCGATGGGGTGACCATGGCGGTGGCCACAGCTCCTCCTGCTCGCCTTGATCTCGGCGACACACCCTGAGTGTAGGAGGCAGCAACGACCTCGACGAAATCATGGCCTCCATCCCGGAACGCAATCATGTCGCTCTAAATAAATGGATTCAATCATGTGACTCTAATTACTTCGGATTGTTATGTGCACACTAAGCGGGGTGCAATTAGGAAAGAGAATGTTTTCTAATTAAAGTGATTGAGTGATTTAAGGTAAGGTTAATTAATTTAGATTTGATTTTTAGTGATTGTTAGTAAAGTATGATGCGTCTTTAAAATCTTTTATTTGTTTCCTTAAAATCTATTATTTGTTTCCTAAAGAAATTTGTAATAATGGAAGGTATCGGTTGATTTGGATAAGTTAGTAAATTTAGATCCGTGATTGCGTGCACGTTTGGAAAGTGCTGATTTGTAAGGAAAGAGCTGAGGGGTAAATAAACCGGTGAATAAGAAACCAGCATCGAAAAAAATCTACGACGGTTAACCTACGAAAAAAAACCGGACGAAAGCGGTGGGACGAAAAAAAACCTGGAAGCGAGACTACCAACTGCTCCATTAGGATACTAGTATATAAACAATGAAAGGTCCCTCGCTACTCGCTGGCATTTGCCAATATAAAATCGTTGAAGACGATTTGTTAGGGTGATGGCTGATCCACACCCTATCGGAGCCCATCACAGAGCATAGGCATCAGAGCACATGGCCGGACCTTGATTTGAACAAGCCGGGTGACAACGATGATGATGGTGGCGGTGTTGGCTACAAATCATGGATGGCCGATGAACACACTCATGCATGAACACACGCCGCCAACACAGGGTGTGTGGTGCGACAAGTTCGGGGACAACTTTCTGCCCTGCTCGAAGCATCCTAGTTCAAAGACGAGAGGAGGAGGTTGCCCTCGTCGCCGAGTGCGATGCAACAATACGACATGACTCTCGGTAGACTCCTCCTGCATTAGCTTCCCATCTTTGACGTAAACCAGTGTCATCATTAGTGATGGCTAGTCTTCAAGGGAAATATTTCAAACCAAATTTATTGATTTGACACATAGCAGATAAGCACAACAAATGAGCATAGCCATCCGAGACCTACCGCGTGGGGGGTGCCTCTATTTTCAAGCCTGGGACCTTGTTCATGTAAAGCCTCTTTTTTCACGCTGAATGACCCAACACACGCACCAGGATGGACCTGGCCTCACCTGACTGGCGGATATTCAAAAACATGCCAGTCGTGCGCAAATACAAATTTTAGATTTGTGATGTACTAATTAACAAGACGTAGTAGATATATGTATGACAATAAATAATCGACTCGCACAATTGTACCTGACATGCACCGCATCCCGGACAAAACATGCCCACGTACCCTGTATCCCACTTCGTTCGTCCAGAACATGCCTGACATATCAGGCATGCCCCACCGTTGTCGTGGGAGTAAGTCTGACAGTAGAATAGGGGGTATGTAGGGGGAGGCAAGATCCTAGCTACGGCGAGGTTGTGCATGCAAGGGTTTACGAGTTCAGGCCCTTCTCGGAGCAAGTAACAACCCTAGGTCTTGGTGCCCGGAGGCTGGTCGACTGGATTATGCCTGAGAGTTATAGGGGGTGCGAACCCTTGTGCCAGAGGAGGGGGTGGCTTATAGAGTGCGCCAGGACCCTAGCCATCCCATGTTACACAGGGTTCAATGTATATTAAGACAGGACGTTACTGGTAACTTTAGCTATAAAGAGCTATAAATGATCTTTAAGACTACACACTGAATGCCCGACCGTTGCCATCCTGAGTGACTTTAGGCCTTCTGTATTCTGAGTGGTTTCTTGTATGGTCGAGTGACTTCATTCAGGGTCAAATGGAATTGGGGTTACCGAGTGAGGTTTGAGGTCGAGTGGATTGCATCCCTTGGTGATCTCAGTCGGTTTCTTGTGTTGTATCTTGAATGTCCTTGACTCTAGGGCAGTGTCCTTGGGTAAGGTATCTAGGTCAGGCCTATGACCCTACCCTAGGTACATGCCATCGTCATTAGCCCCCGAATGGATTGAGGTCTCAGTGAAGAAAGAGCTGAAGTTGATTCTGACCCGATTCCCTACTGCGGAGGTATCTCATCTGAGTCTGTGAATCATGTTGATGTTTCGATCTTATTTCAGTCGCCTCGATCGATTCAGAGGTCGTCAAGTGAACTCGACTGACAGTCTTCGAGTGTTGATACGGAATGAAATCTTCGGCGCGGTTGGTTACTCTGTGGTTTCCGGATCTCACGGGATTCAAAATTTTAGGGAAGCGCGCGGGATGGGGTGCGCCGCAGTAAACGGAGTGGATGAACGAGGATGCCTCGATC